GATTTCAGTATTTATTGCTATAGTTGTCTCTCTCTTTCCCTCTTCTTTTTTGAATGTCCAAATGATGTGTTTGCAACATTTTATTTCTTTCTTCCCCTCAAATTGGTTTCTTTGCAATGGAAGAACTACCATCTTCTCGTTCCTTTTAATTTTTTAAAATTAATATTGTCCTACTGCATCGGTGCATCAATGAAATGACACATTTGCACTGTAGCCTTCTAATTCTAAGAAGTTTTTTAAAAGAGAAAAAATTCTCTTCAAATTAAGTTAATACTGTATTTCATCAATTTAGTTATAGCATTTATATGCCACTTTTCTCTCAGAGTAGAACGCATGCCATGTTTTTTTTTTCCTTTTTTAAACTCTTTGGAAGAACCCTAGGCAGTTTGAGGTGATATAAGGAATTGTTGGAAATAATAGCTACCAACACTTGCAGAAAGAATAGAATGATGCAGATGCAACAACAGTGGGCAAAATCCAAGGAGGCATGGTGCAAAAATTCAGATTTCTTTAGACCATTCTGGAAAACCTTTATAATACAGTAAAAAACATTGGTTGCATTTTTTGAGCCTAGCTTCTAACCTTTATACTTTGTTCTACCAGTAGATGGAGGAGTTGTCATACACAGTACAGAAAACCCTACTACAGCATATTTTAAACCCAAATTTAAACCTTCTATTGGGAGTATCCAGAACTGGGGCAAATTATTATTATTAGTTTGTTTTACACTACACATAGGAGTAGAAGACTGGAACCAGTTTTTGAAAAATAAAAATCTAATTTCTGACCATTTCCTAAATATTAAATTAGTGTTATGCATTCTGGTGAGGGCTGTGTCAAACAATCAAGATAATAAAGTTAAGACAAGGTATATTTTTTCCTCATACTGATCAGTATATCTGTTATGGAACTTGCATTCCTGGGAATTTAATTTTCATTGAATCTCTAACAGTGACTGAAATCCTTTATAGCACATATAACCTAAAATTCATGGATTCATGGCTATCACATATTCAGGACCCCTACATAGTCACTATTTTAAGAGTTTCAGAACTCTACACAATCTCTAGTTTAAGCGCTATGTATGTAGGGACCATGAGAGTCACCAGTCTCCACTGGGCAGAAACCGCTGTACTATCAATAAGGTCCTTTTCTTCTGTCATTTGGGATGTAGCTAGCTGATGGTCCCACTTTACCCTCCACACAAGCAAGCTTTGGCATGAGGGTCAATTGCCACAGGGGCTCTGATTCTGCCTGTAGCATGGTTATCACTTGCAGGAAGGGCTGGAAACAACATCAGCTGCCTTCCAAGTGACAGAGAAATACAGTGGTTGCTTTCTGGCAGTCAAACAGGAAGCAGCATTGGTGCCATATAATGCCTTCTTCATTCTGGCAGCTCTGAGCTTTTTTTGGCTCCTGCAAAAAGGTGCAAACTGCTGACCAATTTGGAGCAGGACAGTGAAGAATCAGAAACAAGGCTAAGAAGGTTAACCTGGATTGTTGAAGTTCTCAGTCAGGTTTGCCTTTCCCTTTGAAACCATGGCTCCAGCATTCGGCTTGGAGCAGCTTCCTCATCCTATCTCTTTGCTTCAACTTTGGTGGATTGCTCATGGACCAATTGGATATGGTCACCCGTTATTGGGATGTGTCAGGGATACCCTCTTGGGGACCTTGAGTTGGGAGCAAATCAAAACATGACCATTTCTGACATTCTATGGTTTGCGCCAAGTTGCCTGTTGTCAGGTCACCTTGGATTCTTGCCAGCTGGGCTGGCCAGGTGAGGATTTGATCACTTGGCAAATGTATCACCACCACACCAAACCAATCTCATTAACTATGACCAATAAAAGTTGTGAGTAATTCATCTATACACACACCTCAGATGACTACTGAGGTATACAAAAGGAACTTTTAGCTGCTGGTAACAAAACTCAATTCCATAGGTAATGTACTAACAAAAATAAATGAACCTTTGTGATACCTCAAATTCGCCCCCTCAGTTTTCCAAATTACAGAGTTTCATTTGGAGTATCTATCGTTGTTATGGTTGTCTCAGCAGAAGATTGACCACCATCAAGCATGCTTCACCTATTTTTTCATCAACAGCTCTGAACTTTTTTCTTATCCTTAATATTATGTATGTCTTTTGCATAATGTGCCTTAAATAGACATATGAGAACAGTTTTTATATTACATGTAACCTGATCTGACATCCTTTATGGCTAAAGGACAGAAGATATTTTGGCTAAACAATTGTTGCTCAAAAGCACATGATCTGATGCTTTTACTTTCTCTATTGTATGTGTAAGGAAAAACCTGGACTTTAAGAGTAGCAAAGGTAAAGATAAAGATTTTCCCTGTCATTAAGTCTAGTCATGTCCGACTCTCAGGTATGGTGCTAATTTCCATTTCTAAGCCAGAGAACTGGCATTGTCTGTATACACCTCCAAGGGCATGTGGCCAGCATGACTGCATGGCACACTGTTACTTTAAGAGTATTAGTGGAATTTCCTTTTTCCTTTTTAAACATATTTCAAATAATCCTGCATCATTTCTCTCATGGTTGATTGTTTCTTGCATGTTTTTATTGAGTTAATATGAGCTGTTGCTTATTGTAATGTTTCATCTTTGCTTTGTCTGAATTAATAAAAAATATCCTTTTCATTTTCTTTTTTAACAACCTTGAAACTTGTAAGACATTCAGGGTAAAATGCTTAAATACATGAATGAGTGAATTAAAGGCTGAACTCTTATAAACTCAGAGTCCACCGAACTCTAAAATTTACTTCTGATTAACATCTGTTGCCTGCAGTATATATGTAAATATTGTAATGAAACAAGGAAGGGAGGAACGAAGGGAGGGAGGGAAAGGGGAGGGTAGAATGAGAAAATGGTTCTTTTTAAACAAAAAACACACACCCTGATGCTTGATTTTCAGACTGTGCAACAATAAATATAGTTCTTCTTCTTATCTCTTTTATTAGAATGTGGCAAAGCGATAGTAGAATTAGGAAACACTCGCTTTGAAGGAAGAATCATGAGTCCATATTACCCAAGCTACTACCCACCGAAATGCATTTGTTCTTGGACTTTTCAGGTAATTTTAAACCCCATTGTGAAGCACTTTTGCAACTGCACTTCACTGTTTTTATTGTCAATTAGAAAACAGGGCTCTCAGTCTGCTTCTCTCTTTGATGAGATGAAGTTGCAGGATTCCAAGCTCTTTGATCTCGGTACAAAGCCTGACTCTTTCTCTGTCTCTTTTCCTCCCTTTTTTGGTCAAGTAGCTATAGTAGGAGATGAAAGGTGTCCTTGTGAGAAGGTGGAAAGCTGCACCTGCTCTCAGCCTCTGCCAGCCTGCCCTCTCCCTCCGAGGCTCTCATGCGCTGGCAGCTGAGCTGTGGCAACCACTGTCACTTCTTGTAATCTGGCACATCGAAATCAGAAACTGCTACTGAGCTGAGCACCCTCTTGTCAGTTTTGAACTAGAAGGACAGAAGAAGTTTTTAAAGCAGCTTACAGATCTGGGAGATCTTCCCCTCCATCCCAAGTGGAGGTAACATGTTACAAGCAATAATAATATTGCCTGTAACATCATATTGTTAGTCTTGTGACTTCTTTGGAGAAGGAATAGCAAGTAAAGTTTACTCATTAATTTTAAAACATGGATATTTAAGGATCATGATGGGGGGGGGGGGGTTAGACCATTTTTTGTATAGTGCTTATTGTTATTATATTTATTTGTAGCCAGTTTTTCTCCTTATACTGGGATACAATGAGGCTCAAAGTCTTAAAAATATACAGTTTAAAAAACTTGTAAAATAAGCAAGTAAATAATTAATTTAAAATATAACACTATGTTGTTGAGGGCTTTCATGGCTGGAATCACTGGGTTGCTGTGAGTTTTCCAGGCTGTATGGTTATGTTTCAGAAGCATTCTATCTGGACGCTTCACCCACATCCCTGGCAGGCATCCACAGAGGTTTTAAGATCTGTTGGAAACTAGACCTCACACCCTGGACATTCCACAGATATATAAACTTTATTTGCCTAGTTTCCAACAGACCTCATAACCTCCGAGGATGCCTGCCATAGATGTTGGCGAAACATCAGGGGAGAAAGCTTCTGGAAAATGACCATACAGCCTGGAAAACTCACAGCAACCCAATAACACTATAGCTGTGTGAAACCAAATATGGCCAATAAGGACACAGGTAGTGTGCACAAGAGATGAGGAAGACATTCAATTTGCATTTGAATGTAGACTGATCCAGTTCACATTGCCCATTCTAGGTGTGAACTAAAACAGAGTTGCCACTCAGTACTCACAATTCATAGAATCATAGAATCATAGAATCATAGAGTTGGAAGAGACCTCATGGGCCATCCAGTCCAACCCCCTGCCAAGAAGCAGGAATATTGCATTCAAATCACCCCTGACAGATGGCCATCCAGCCTCTGTTTAAAAGCTTCCAAAGAAGGAGCCTCCACCACACTCCGGGGCAGAGAGTACCACTGCTGAATGGCTCTCACAGTCAGGAAGTTCTTCCTCATGTTCAGATGGAATCTCCTTTCTTGTAGTTTGAAGCCATTGTTCACGTCCTAGTCTCCAGGGCAGCAGAAAACAAGTTTGCTCCCTCCACCCTATGACTTCCTCTCAAGTATTTATACATGGCTATCATGTCTCCTCTCAGTCTTCTCTTCTTCAGATTAAACATGCCCAGCTCTTTAAGCTGCTCCTCATAGGGCTTGTTCTCCAGACCCTTGATCATTTTAGTCACCCTCCTCTGGACATGATGTTCACTGCAGTAGTTCACCAAACCACAAAAATGCAAACAAATATGTGTATTTCAGGGAAAAGTTCAAACAAATATATAGATATAAATTATGTATAAAATGTTTTGAATTAAGAAAATGAGAACGTGGAAAGTTACTTTGAGAAAGTAATTCATTATGTAACTCAAACCAATTTCCCCAGCATAACATGTTACCATTACTTTAAAAAATGTGATGTTGTAAGCATCAGGGAAAACTGCAAACAAAATGTGTATGTTAGTCGACTTTGCACAAAAGTTTATATAAAATATTGTGTCCGTTAAAACAACATTCAGAAACTCATAGAGGGCCCTTCCACACTGGTACAAATGCAGGATGAAATGGCATGAAAAATGCCAGTTTGGTACCACACCTTGGCCACACATGGATGCAAAAACCCACCACATTGGTGGTGGTGGTGGAGTGGTCGTACTCATACAGGTCAACCATGCCAACACCAGTTCAGTATAGATGGACATAGGAAGTATTTCATTATCACTCATTTTCCCCCTCCAATCAAAATGAAAGCCTCCTTACTGTTGCAGAAGGCTCTCCATTCTCTGGATCAACCTTAGTGATATATGATGGAGCTTTGGAGGTGGAAGTCCCTTTCCCCTCTCCAAAGTTCTGTTGCATCTCCACTGAGAGTGATCCAGTGAACTGAGAACCTCCTGCAACAGTAAGAAGACTTTCTATTCATTTGGGGGGGGGGGGTCAGGTATGGTAGAGAGGCCACATCATCCCACCTCCCAGGGCTGCCTGAGCCTGGGGAATGCAGTACAGTTGTGGGGATGATACCTGGGATCACCATCCACTGGAGAGCTTCAGGCTGCCACCACAAATATTAAAACTTTTGGGGAACCCTGCACTTTCCTCCTTCACTTCAACACAGGGAAATTAGCTCTCTGGCTGTCTCCAGAGTGGCAGGGATGACACAACCCATATTTAACTCCCTTTCCCTGTGTTGCTAAGTGAAGGGGGATAGAAGCACTGGCCAATGTGGACAGCACACCACATTTGAGCCAATCTGCTGTCCGCACTCTGCTCAAAGTGCAGGACTCCCCAAGAGTTTCAATGAAACTCCAGAGCATTCCTGACTTTGCTTAACATGTGGCTAAAACAATTCAGTCTGGTTTACCCTACATTAAAACATGGATATCCAGGAGTGACTTATGATCTACTTCAGGTTTTAAGGCTGGTGTAAATAAGCTCCAAGATACAGAAAAGAGGGCAATCAAAATATGATGAGAGGGAGCGAGGACACAGCAATCTTTGTCTTGTACTCAGATGTAAATGTATCTGAGCTGGTGCATAAATACCTGAATGCTTGAGAGAAAGCAAAATCAACAGATTCATCCATCTCTGGCCTCTACTAGAGATTATATGGCTTTATTTGCACCTTCACCTAAAGTTTATTCTAATCAGCACCCAGAGACCTAGATGAAACCCTGATATGCATATCACATACAGATATATATGTAAATAACAAAAAAACCAATTGCTTTGTCCTTGTATGATAGAAATGTCAAATATAATTATTCTTTCTCAAAAAACAGACTCCCAAGAAGAACTTCGGTATAGCACTGAAATTTCATAACTATACTATAAATGAAAAAAGCATAAAAGGCTGTGAGCATGGGTGGTGGAAAATTAATGAACATATGTAAGTATACAAATGTAGGCTATTCTTCTTTACAGCTAACTAGCACATCTCCTCTCATGGAAGGAAGGAAGAGGAAGGAAGTAGGTATAGGAACTTTCTGTTGTTGTTGTTGTTGTTGTTGTTATTAATGTTATTATTAATGTTGTTATTATTATTATTATTATTATTATTATTATTATTATTATTATTAGCAGCAGCAGCAGCAGCAGCAGCAGCAGCAGCAGCATTTATATCCCACTTTCTTTCTCCCAAAAGAGAATCAAAGTAGCTTGCACAAGAACATCATACAATAATGTAATTATAAGAGGAGATTGATTTTAGCCACCCAGATTGCCGTTGGTCTAATGTAAACATGTTATGTGCTGATGTTTATTGCTTTCAAATCAACTTTGACTTTTCCTCAACTAATTAATATACATTCTTCAGTATTATTTGGTTACTACATATACTGTTGGGACCAGAGCTTGGAAAGGTTATTTTTTGGACTACAATTCACAAAGTCCCCAAGCAAGTGTAACTAGTGGGTATGTTACCTTGAGCATTCTGCAAGTTGCCATATGTTGGGACTTGCATAAAAACAAAATCTGGAGGATTGCATAAGCCCATTCTATTTTAGATTATTGTACTGAAAAATTCTCCATATGAGAAGTTAACACAGATTCATCTTTCTAGGTACTGTGGCTATTACATTGATCATCCAACAATATTCCGTGTTGCAAACTTTGGGGTCAATGTTGAATTTCAATGTAGTTCCAAGATTTCAGAGAAGCCACTCCTTGTGGAACATGGAATCTACAACATCAGTCAACGTAAGAGTGACTTTAACTTCCTTTGTGCCTTCTGAAAATGTGTCTGAATGAAACACATTAGATGATATCACTGACATGTGGGACGATGTATATGGCAGCAACTAGTTTCTATTTAATAGTTTAGGAGGGTTGATCCAGATTTTTGTGTATGCAACTAGGATGGTAGATTGTATTATACCCTCCTCTCTGCAAATGATTCCTCTCCCACTTCAGGAGGTCTGGGGTGGTGGTGATGTTGAATAGAGCAAACCATGGTGCGAGGTTCAGGTAAGTACTGAAACAAGGAATTGGATTGCTGTCCTTTTTCTGATTAAAAAATATTGCTCACTAGTGAAAGTGAAGTAGAAATATATTGGTACTTCTTGAATAATTTTGGGCACCACACAGAATATGAAAACCAATTAAAGAAATTAAGTCCTAGAACAGTGCTATACAAGTAGTGGTCTGTGAACTGATGCTGGCCTACAAGCTATTGTTGCTGGTCTACTGTTAGTAACAATGGCCATAAATATAGTGCTGGTATCTGGCACATTTGAAGAAAAACCCTGTGTGATCCTACCATCTCTCTCCCCATATCAGATAACTTAAGAAGCACTATTCTGGAACATATGGTGCAGAAAATGTCTGACCTAGCTATATTATTTCTGTTCCAGTTTCTACCAGAATATTATCCTGATAAAGCAACTTTAAGAGGGATGTGATAGGGAATGCCTATATTTTGAACTGTTGGTGATGCAGAGAAAAACCAACCAGGAATTGTTAATGAAAGAGGCTCCAGACTTCAGAGGGCTTCAAGGGGGTCACACTTTGGGATTCCTAGGGCCACATGTCATTCATTGGTAGCACTTACTCCATCCTTGTAACAAATTGTGTTCTTTTAAATCAAATTCTAAAATAAGAATATAAATTGATTCTTTTCAAGTGAAGGACATATCAGAAAGTTTTTCTGCCACTTGAAAATGAGTAGGAACAGTGCAAGAGGACCACTTAGGTGCATTTGGGAGTGGCACAGTTTCTTGGCAGGTCCTTGTTCTTTTGTCAAATAAGTATTAATATAAGAATTATATACTAGAATCATATGTGTTTTCCTTATTGCCTTTAGCCTGTCCTCTTGGATCTTTTGAATGCCGCACTGGCTTATGCATCCAAAGATATCAGCATTGTGATGGGATCAATGACTGTTTCGATGAAAGTGATGAGCTCTTCTGTGGTATTTATTTATTTTATTTACAGTATTTATATTCCACCCTTCTCTGAAGAGTATTCAGAGTGGATTGCAGAACACTTATATGGCAAACATTCAATGCCGTTATACAATGACAAGACAGACAACTGTACATAGAGGTATATATAGGCTTTCACATCTTTGGTATCTTGGAGGCAGTGCTCAGTTCTGGCCACTGGGTGGTGCTGTTGCTCCACTTTCTCTGCAAAAAAGCTTTTGTTCATAAACTTCCTCTTTGATTAAATTGCTGACATTTTTCTGGAATTTCCTTATGGGTGCCTTAAACACCTTTCTGCTTAAGCGGTACCTATTTATCTACTCACATTTTGCTTTTGAACTGTTATGTAGGCAGTAAGCAATTATTCTTTACAGCTATCCTTTAGGGCAGTTCATCCTTAACTATAAATCTTATAGTTATGAGATTTTTTCCTCATTTTAGGTACAACAAAACAAAACTGTAGCACTAACTTCTTAATGCAACACCATTCCATTTTTTGTGATGGAATAAATGACTGTGAAGATGGCCGAGATGAACAACATTGCACTGAAAGTGAGTCTCGTATATAAAACTTGTGTAAAACTGTAAGCTTGGGAGGTTTTGGTCTAAATCTTCTCATTAATTAATTAATTACTTCATTTATACCCTGTCTTTGTCTCCCTCAAGGGACTCAAGGCAGCTTACAACTCTGATGCAATTCACTGTGTAAAGTTTAGGTACCTGCTCTCAGCCTTAGTGCCTACTTGAAGATTGATTAAATGGAGTTGTTAGAGAATATATTTTGAATTTGGTTGTTTTCTTTTAGGTATTCCATGTACCAATAATACCTTCAAGTGCAGAAACAATGTTTGCTTCAGGAAACAAAATGCAAGATGTGATGGAATTGTAGACTGCCTTGATCGAAGTGATGAAAGCAGTTGTAGTAAGTTTTCCTAAAATTGCTTTGCTCAGAAAGACAAGGAACTTAAGACTTCTTACTTTCTGTTTGAACAATATGTACATAACATGTATACCATTTTATTCAGCCCTTGGCATGTTTCTGTAACAAATGCAGTGCTATTTTTCATATTTCTGTCATACACAATTGCATTAATGTGGGTATGTCCATCAACCCATTATAATTAGGCAACATATAAAAGGTAAAGGTTTTCCCCTGACATTAAGTCCAGTCATGTCTAACTTTGGGGGATAGTGCTCATCTCCATTTCTAAACCAAAGAGCTAGCGTTGTCTGTAGACACCTCCAAGATCATCCGGCATGACTGTATGGAGCGCTGTTACCTTCCTGCCAGAGCGGTTCCTATTGATCTACTCACATTTGCATGTTTTCAAAATGCTAGGTTGGCAGAAGTCCCACCTAAAAAAAGTATAATACAGCTCTCTTATCTATAGATTCAATACCCATAGTTTCACATACCCACATTTCTGAAAAATTTCCCCTCCCTCAGACATGTTTGTGAGCCTACCTATTTAAAGCTTTCATTATTTAAATTTGTGTTACTTGAAAACATATGGTTGTTAGAAAATGGTTGAAACATTTATATGTTTTAAAAGGCTGTGGCAGCACTAAATATACCAATGGACATCTTCGGATTGTGGGGGGTTCGGATACACAGGAAGGCGAATGGCCGTGGCAAGTCAGCCTCCATTTTGCTGGAGTTGCATATTGCGGTGGATCGGTTATATCAAAAGAATGGCTTATCTCAGCTGCCCATTGTTTTCAGGGGAATAGGTAAGTAGATAAATTTCAGTTCCTCTAGAGCTTTTCCTTTAATAACTCTCAAGTGGCAGTCATGTAAAACAGATGAAGTACAATGGGTTCATTGTTCTTCCAGTAATTTGTAATGATCAGTCATGGATTTCCAATAACCAGTTAGAAGAATAAACTGAGACCTTGCATGCACTAAGATTCCATAAACAAAGACATCCTGTTCTTGTTAAAGATATCCTTGTTTCTATCTACCTATAGCAGCACCCTTCTTATGGGTCATTTGGTTTGCTCAAAATAAAGTGGAGCTGCTATTTTTAAAAATCCCAAGTCTTCTCATATGTCACACACACTGGTGCAGAGAGAAGAAAACGAATGGTTCACCAAAATCCCAGTTAGGAGGCTATGTGCATTTGAAGAGGTTTTTTAACAGAGGTCTTTAAAAAGCTTCTTACTTTGCGAGCTTCTCATAGTCATTCTAGGGGCTCTTCCACACAGCCCTATATCCCAGAATATCAAGGCAGAAAATCCCACAATATCTGCTTTGAACTGGGTTATCTGAGTCCATACTCAGATAATGTGGGATTTTCTGCCTTGTTATTCTGGCATATAGGGCTGTGTGGAAGGGCCCTAAGACAGTGACTTGAATTATCACTGCCCTTGTGGAATTGGTGATTGTCCATTCTAGCCTTCCCAGAATGCCTATCTTTTAAGACAAACTGTCCTCATTGAAAGTCAGATTTTTTTTTCCAAACAGGGTTTTTCTCTCTTGATGATACCAAAATAACTTCATCTTCTTTCCTTTAACACCTATACATCAATGGCCTTTCCCCCTCTGCCATCACAAGTGCTTTAGCATAGATCTTGTAGTTGCCCAACAGGATCTCAAGTCACCAAAATAACTTTTGATCAAGTGCTGCAGAGGCCCAACCTTCTTATTCTCTTTCTACCTTCCAAGTTCCCCCATCCTCACCTCCCTTTACCCATGTTGCACACAGTTCCCTATGTGCAGTAAACTGCTGTGTAAATATCTTTTGTATACAGCTGTAATCCACCGTTAGCACTGGGAGGAGATCCACCTGGGAGGGAAGAAGATAGAAACCAAGATAAATGAGTCCTCTTATGACTACAGCCTCTCTGTGCCCTTTCTTCAGTGTTTTGTTTCTGCACACATGGGGAAAAAGTTATTCTGTCTTTTGTCTGTGGTATGATCTTGACTTTAAAGTGAACTTCCACACCTTTCTTCAAGTATCTTGTAGGCATCAAAGTTTGAAAACTGCTGACATATGAAGTTCCACAGAACTGATACCATCATGGGCAAGGCTATATTATTCACACCTCCAAATGATTTTGGGCCAATGACAGCCTAGGGAACAAAGCTTTCTTGGCATTGTTTGAAAGCCTTTAGTGCTTAGCGGTGCTAATATCTATCAAATGATTAAATTATCACCCCCACCTTCACAGATTTAGCTGACAGAGTTGTTTTAGAACCCATCTAGTGCCAACCTGGTCTGATAAGGCAAAGAACATTGATAGAAGTAATAAATGAGACGAGGACTACATTACTTAAACTTTTTCCTGTAGAAATCAATTATATTTATATCGGATTAGTCACTCATTGTGACATAGCCCTGTCCCATGCTGTCCCTTAAACTCCAATCCCTAGGAATTCTACCACTCACCTTGCCCTTGTTCCCCCAATTATTCCTTTGCTGGATTGGGTTACAGGGCCTCAGGGTCTCCCCTTCAAACATGGACTTGTGGCCACATTGTTGGGTGGAATCTTTAGTATTGATATGCATGCCCTGGATCCGAATCAGGCTTGACAAGTTCACTAAAAAAAGTTTACAACAACAGGAATAGGTTTATTAAACATATTAGAAAAGTATATGCAGTTGATTCTCCATATTTGTAGATTTTGTATCCAAGTGGGGGGGAAAGCAAACATTGATTTTGATATTTTATATATGTGGCCCCGTGATACTATATTATTTTATATAATAAGACTTGAGCATTCACAGATGTTGATATCTACAGGGGTCCTTGAACAAAACTCCAGAGTATCCAAGAGCCTAATGTAGTCTGTTCTTTAAGCTCTCACAAAACCAGAGAAATCCTTTCTTTCTCAAATTCAAAATTCTGTCACGATGAGCTTGGAATCCTGTCTGTGTCACATGAATCAATTAACTTTTTGGAGCCAAAAATCATGATGGCCACAGAAAGTCATTGGAGGGACAAATGTGACATGTGGCTCCAGGAACACCCTTTGTCTTCTGCTGCTCTAAGACACTAGGATGTAACTCTTATGTTTTATATTAATATGTTTTAATTCATGTTTAAATGTCTAGATGTTTAATATGGTTTAATTTAATTTATAGTTCTATGTTACCATTTTTATATGTCATAAGGCATTGAATTTTTGCCGTGAATTTGTTGGACGCCGCTTTGAGTCCCCCTGGGGGAGAAAAGCGGTATATAAATGAAGTAAATAAATAATCAGTCCTAATCAATATATAATGGGACTTTAAATTAAACAAGATTTGGTGACTCATCTGTTTTTCATTTTAAAAGGATCATTATTGCTGCATATTTACTCTGAAAGAGTGCCAAGTGAGTTAAATAAAGCTTGAGTAAATATGAATAGAATTACAGTCTTAAAGGTAGATAGTTGCTATGCATCCTTTTAGAACTGCAGCTAAAGTCTTGTTATTATAAACAACACTTTTAGTTTGTTATTTTTTCAAAAAAGAACTTCCCAAGTTCCAGTAATTCAATCACTAATATTTGCAATGTGAATCATTTTCAATTAGGTTATCAGACCCTAGAATCTGGACAGCACATTTGGGAATGCGTACTCAAGGAAAAGCCAAATTTGTCTCTACTCTGAGGCGAATCATCATCCACGAATACTATAATAGCCAAAATTATGACTACGACATTGCCTTGCTGCAACTAAGTACACCATGGGCTGACACAATGAAATCATTAATTCAGCCGATCTGTCTACCTCCTGCCACATCCAGAGTGTATCCAGGGGAAAAATGTTGGGTAACAGGATGGGGACAGAAACAAGAAGCAGGTAAACCTTTGTGTTTTTAGCCAGTGAGCCAGTGTGCTGTTGGGGCTGGAGTGCTGAAATGGGAATTGTGAGATATGAGCTCTAATCCCTGCTGTAACATGATACTCACTAAGTAACCTTGAACCAAGTATTCTCTCTCAGCCTGATTTACATCATGGGGTATTTGTGGGAATGCATGTTGCCTTGAGCTCACCAGAGGAAGGATGCAAATTGTAATCATAGAATCATAGAGTTGGAAGAAACCACAAGAGTTATCCAGTTCAAACTCCTCATCATACATTTACAACAGATGGCCATCTAACTTCAGTTTAACAACCTCCAGAAAACAAAAGTCTGCCACAATTTGAGGCAATGTATTTCACTGTTGAACAGATCTTACCATCAGTGGATTCTTCCTAATATTTAGGAAGATCTTTCTTTTTCTGTGTAATTTTAATCAATTGGCCATGCTCTGGTTTTTGGAGTAGCAGAAAATGAGTTTCTTCCTTCTTCAATATGACTTATTTTCAAACATTTAATCATGGCCATTATAAAGGAATTGGTCCGAGGATCAAATCAACATCAGATCCCACTCCGCTATACACCAATTATAAGATGGGGATATACAATAATCAATCCCACATCACTGGATCTAATTATGATGTCTGAGGGGTATATTTTAGTTTCTTCCGCTGCCACCAAAATACAAAAGGAAMCCCCTAGCTGCCAAACTAAAGATCTATTTGAGACCACCAGGCACTGTGTCTTATTATTTCTTCTTTTTAAAACAGTTGAGGTTGTGTAGGAAACTTTAGCCACAAAGGCACACTTGAGTCAGGCTTTTAAATTTAAATAATCAATGAAAGTTTATTRAYTGAAAAACAGGAAAGTAAGTGCAGTTCAAWATCTTGGCTGTTACAGAGAAKTWTTGCTTTTGTCTTGAAWGCDTAGCGGTTACMATAWTAGTTCTRTCTTTGTTACAAWWARAGARWTYYTCTTCTTCACYAAYAAGAAAACTTAACAGGAACTAAATCTCTGTCAGGATTTCTTCTGTAGCTCAGATACACTAACCTAGTCCTATCTAGCTACAACCCAGCTATATCCCTAATAGCTGTTCAGTTTGCTTCAGCTAACTTGCTGGCAAACCACTGGCAAACTTTGCCCTCTCCTAACTCCTAAACCACAATCTTCTAAAACATCCTTTCTCTTCGATCTCTAATCTTCCACTCTCCCCTTTCTCTCTCTTAAAAGGCTCTTTTTCCCTCCAAGCCTCTCTAAACTCCACCCCCTTTTCTAAACCAATCATGGTCGATCTCTGCTGACTCAGGCCTAAGACACTCCCCCTCTCTTCTCTCTCTCTAATATGGTGCCTTCCCTGATCTAAAATGGCTACTGCTGCTTCGCCAGGCCTACCTAAGCTGCAAACTAGCTGGCAGACTCACACTAGGCCCTGCAAATCCTGGCTGCAAAAGGTAAGGGACCTTTACAGCCATCATGTCCCAATCAATCTTATCTTCTCTAATCTAAACATATTCAACTTCCTTTAACCCCTCCAAAATTTAATTGGGGTTCCCCAGGTAAACCAAAAGTTCCAGGAAATGTTAATCTATTATGTTTCTGGATTTCATGTTCTAAAAGTTTTTCCATGAGCCAGTGTGGAGTAGTGGTTGAACTAGGACTAGGATTCTGGAAACCAGGTTTCAACTTGACCATGGAGACCAACTAAGTGACCTTGGGCAAGTCAATGCCCAGCCCTAGAGGAAGGCAATGGCAAACGTCCTCTACATAAATATTGCAAGAAAATCATGATATAGATTCTCCTTAGTGTTGTCATAAGTTAGAAATGTCTTGAAGGCACCCCAACCCTCTACTAACAACAATTGTTCTCCCTTCCACATCCAGTCGTGCCCTAAATATACCAGGGCTCCATCAGCTCTTTATTTTAATTTTTCTTTTTTACTATAGGTGTTATGTGTGACGCAGGTGAAGCTTCCCTATCTCCCATCATCTTCTTTTGAATGCAGCACCTCTCTCCATACGTCTCCCCAGTATCCATGTTTCCTGTCTTGTACATTTATTTTAAATTTTAAAAATTAGTCACGGAAGTGATAATACCACTTTTTGACTGTGAAAGAAAAGTAGGTGGTGTGGATGAGACATGTTCAGCATGGTCGTTGGAAATGTAATGAAAAAAAGGAAGGTTAGAGGAAAAATCTATCAAAGGTCATATGTTGTCATTGGGATATCTAAAAGAAAAGGAAACAATTGGATATAGACAAAGGAATTTCCCTATCAGTATTGGCAATTCACAGGAGTGGAATAGCAAATATCACCTATCCTGAGTTTGAAAATTTGTAGCATGTCCTGGGAATTCAGTAAACACAGGCTGGATTAGGAACTAGATTATATGGAATTTTTTTAAAATCTCAAAAAGTACAGCCACAACTCCCACCAAGGTCCAATCGGAATGGGCTCTAATAAATAAAATAATAATTGCACAGAGATTTACTTCCTTTACTATAGAGTTTTACATTTTTTATTCCTAGAATAAAGGTCTTATCCTGAAATATAAAATACCCCCTTTCCCCTCTTGAGACAGTAAATTGGCATATTTGTTAAAAGAAAGATCTGGACAGTTTGGAAAAGTCTGAAAACTCCAGTTCAGTGGACATAACATGAAATGGTCCATAATTTAAGCAGCATCTAAACCCCGAGAAGGAGGACCTAGTTTTCTGGTTTTACCATCTTTGTTAGAAAACCAGATGTATGACCAAATTAGCTTTCTTCTCTCTTGTAGCTAGGCCAAAATAATTTGTGAAATTCCAGGTCCAGCTTTAAGGAAGCCAATTTATCTCAGCCTCATTATTATTTTGACTTTTCTGCTTTACGGATTTTTGAAACTATTTTGATCTGTAATCTTTTCTCATTAAGCTTAATTTTTTTCAGATGATGAAACACCAGCAGTTCTACAAAAAGCAGAGGTAGAAATTGTGGATCAAACATTGTGCCACTCAACATATGGGCTTATCACAGCCCGTATGCTATGTGCTGGGATGATGTCAGGTAAAAGGGATAGCTGCAAGGTAAGGATACTTCCCCAGCTCTCTTTCTTTTGCATTCACAGAGCCACTTACTATCCTTTGCTTGAAGTTTGAGTTAAGAAACCTAGTAACAATGGTGCCATCAATCATAATTTCAGTTAGCATACTACATCGGTAGGTTACTTTGACTTAGTACAGATGAACAGTTTTGGGATTCAATGTAGGATACCTATCCATCTAGATTTTCCTGGACTATACCTCCCTTTAGCTGTGATAAGTGATGATGCTGGCCATAGGAGGATGATGTTGGAGTCAAATATCACATTAAAGTCATGGGTGGGTAATGAGGTGATCAATCTTGTCTTGACAGAGCCAGTGTATTATTAGGCAGACTTATACATGAAATCAGCATATACATAGGTATATATAGTACATAGAAAAATGTGGTATGGCATAAAGACAATTCATATCTCATTTGGTCCTGAATATATGATACATACTGATATGTTACTTTAGCCTATATACACTGCCATATAATGTCGTTTCAGAATACAGATTAACTGCATTGAACTGGATTATATGGCAGAGTAGACATATAATCTAGTTCAATGAAATTAGATCAGCTTTATTATGACCATTATAATGTAGTTCAAACAGCATTATATGGCAATATAGATGGGGTGTGAGACTCTGAACAGCATGATATATACTGGCAATGTATATATGTTGTGTCTTGGTTTTCTTTTTCTTTATTGCAATTGCTGTTCAGGCTTGGCCTCATGAAAGCTGCTCCGAGTCCCCTTTGGGGAGATGGTGGCGGGGTATAAATAAAGTTTATTATTATTATATTATATTTCTCATTATTTCATAATTTAAGGCTTCAATCATTCCTAGGGAACATGAAAAACACTATGAGCAGCATCAGCAAATATTACAGTACCAGTGATTGTATTAATTGACATGTTTTAAAATACCATAAGCTTCAATCTCTTTAATACAGGGAGATTCTGGAGGACCTCTCTCTTGCCGAAGCAAAGGTGATGGCAAGTGGTTTCTCATAGGAATCGTCAGCTGGGGGTATGGCTGTGGAAGACCTAATTTCCCTGGAGTATACACAAGGGTGTCAAATTTTGCTACATGGATTCACAAATATGTGCCTTCTGTTTTTTAACTGAGCACTGATTACATTTTATGCATCTTCATTTCTGCAGTTATGTTCTCATTCAAGTGATAACACTTGAAGAATCTTCATTAAAATCATGTTTAATAATAAACAATTGTTGTGTTTTCCATTTATTTTACACCTCGAAATGAATATCACAGCTGTGTTCTCATTGTGAAAGATATATTTAATTGAGGGCAGGTCTTATACAGAGTTAGATATATTTAAATTTATAGATTAGATACTATTAATGGCACAATTAGTATTAGCCTGCATAAAGAGTTAATACTGAGGAGAAATAACAACATGCTATACTATAGGAAATGTTGTTGATGTGGTATATCTTGATTTCAGCAATCTGTCTACAATGTACAAAAACTGGTGTGTGTGGGGAGCAAAAACCAGTATGTTCTTTTCCCACATTCAGATGAAAGAACAATACTGCATTTCTTAAGTGTGCATTTATATTGGACTTTCTCTTACGTAGCTGCTATTCCATCATATTTACATGATCATGAATAGTAGGTCTGTGCAAAACTAGTGTTAGTTCTCATAAGTCGTTAGTAATTCGTTAGATTCATGCAATTGAATTGCTATTAAGAAACATGCAGGAAAGAGGGAGAGAAAAAAAGTAAGAATCAAACACCGACCAATAATTTTTGTTAAGATTCTGTAACATTCGGAAGTCTCTCAAAGTCAGTCTAATTTTCAGTATAGGCATTAAGCAACTTTGGCAATGCCAAAGAGCCCATTGCTAGTGCTAATTAAGAACCAGCCTGCTTGCTGGTCACGGTAAGGAAGGGCAGCTGGAGCGACACCAGCTGAGCTGGGCGAGAGACTGAGAACACAGCATTCTGGGAAATGTAGTTTGGGAAGGTGAAGCCCTCTGTGGCAGAGAATTCAAAAGGCCCTGCCCTAAATTACATTTCCCAGAATGCAGTGATCAACATCCGAAAGTCCCAATGAAGGCTCCAGCAGCCAGCCACTTAGAATCAGTCTAAACCGCATTGAGTCGCCGCTCCAGGCTGATAAATGCGGTATACAAATGGAGTAAATAAATAATAAATAAAATAAATAAATAATGATAAATAAAAATGTTAAATCTGCAAAGAGTACAAATGTAAGTAAGCAGTAGTATAAATCTGTGCTAAGTTGAAGTTCTATGGTTAATTGTGTGTAATATAGACACACTGTTAAACAGACATTCAAGGGGATTGCTGCTGTGACTTTTTTGGGGATAAATGTTTTTGCCTAAACTTTTTAAAATCCCTAAAAATCCATAGATGTGTGCATCTTTCTAAAACTTGGAGGGATTGTTGTCCTGGTTATCTTGTGCATTGTTGATAAAATTTAAGTAGATAGCTCTTTATATATATATATATATATATATATATATATATATATAGAGAGAGAGAGAGAGAGAGAGAGAGAGAGAGAGAGAGAGAGAATCAAATTTCCCCCCCAAATTAGTGGAGGAATGTAACATTTTTAAAGTTGATGGGATAACAGTGGAAAATGTGTGGTACAATTATAGCAAGTTTCATCATGATAGCTCTAAAAATGTGAGAGAAATGAGCTCCTGAAGTTTCTCCACTTGCTCAATTACTTAACAAAAAATGTAATGAAAAATTCATTACTTCATTATACTTACAATTTTTAGGTCCATAATTTCAGAAACACACTCAAAAACATTTCACCCTCCTCAATTTTGTAATGAGCATTGAAACATTTTTTATTGATCACACAGGTCTAATAAATAGCAGCAACACACCAGGATGATCACTTTGGCCATCACACCTCTCTGCAGCTGCACAGTTACAATGATTTTTAGAGAACACATTTGCCACTGTTACACCCCCCCCCCCAAGTTTCAGAATGTTTCACACATCCACTAATTTTTTGGGAATTTAAAAAAGTTTTTACAAACAACATTTTTTTAAAAAAACTACAAGAGCTATCTTCTTGAATTTCTCTTTTCAATGATATAACATAACCATAACATAATTTTCAGGGAGGAATTCTGGGAAATGTAGTTTGGGAAGGTGAGGACCCCTGTCTCAAAGAATTCAAAAGGCCTTGCCCTAAATTACATTCCCTGAATTCTGTCCATGTTAAAGTCTCAGTGTTGAGTATGGTCTCTGCCTGTCTATCTGTGGGCCAGCCATGTGCCGGAAGGGCTTCTTCCTTGCCTGGCCATCTAGCCAGGCATCCCTCTGGCCTGCCTGCCTGCTTTGGCTCCCCCTTGCCACCCCCTTTAAGGAAAGAAAGGGGCTTCTTCCTCAACTCTGGGCCTTGCCATCCACCTTGGGCCCTTTGGGGGAATCAAACCCAGCTGTTTTAGGGAAGAAGTGGCACCCACAGCAGAGACCTGGAGTCACTTATGAGACCTGCATAATTCTTCCAAAAAGTCATAGGTCAGTGTTTTGAATCTTAAGTTTTTTGCGTTTCTGAATATTGTATGTACGAATCTTACGAAATAGATATGACAAATGGGGCACAAATGAAGTTTTGCACAGCCCTAAAAAATAATAAATTAAAACTTTATATAAGTCAATTACAGTGAGGGAGAAACCCGCCTCTGATGTGACTTCAATTTTGACATGCCAGCACAGAAGCTGAATGGTATAATTGCATTAGGTAAGTGATTGGAATGTCGAACGTTCTGTAGGGGAGAAGTTTATAGTGGGACAGCTTTATAGGTGACCGTCTGGCAATGGGTTACTCATGATACTTGTTTAAATGCCAGTTTGCTTCCTTCATGCAATAAGTCCATAAAACAGTAATAGAAAACTGCATGTATTCTCTAAGAGTATCACTTCCTCTGATCTCAGAAGCTAGGCTGGGTAGGATTGTTAATTTTTTTTAATGGGGGACCATGGAAGAACAGCAACTGATCTGTGATATAGTCTAGTGGAAGACAATCACCTCTTATTATTCCTTTCCTAATAAATCTCATCATAAGTCAAAAGGACACTTGAGAAAAGACAGAGAATGTTTCTAACTTTCAACTTCTAAAAAACCAGCAACGTAAAGAGTGCATTGAGATGCAATTTTAAAAAACCTGACAAATTTCAAAATAGCTGGAAATAACTGAGTAGAATGGGAATGATGACATAGGGAATGATGATTGATTTCCCATTAAGTTCCATCTCATAGATTTCAGAACATTTTGAACACAATGGCATAGGTTATAGATGAGTCCCAAGGCAAGAACCATGAAGAAAATGGTCCGCCCCAGGAGACTGATGGATCTGGATGGATTCCTGAGGAATCTTGGGGCTCTTCCTGCCATGGAGCCTGGCGATTCGGTCGACGCCTTGGTTGATCTCTACAACAGGGAGATGGCCAGGGCGATAGATACGATCGCTCCCGAACGCCCCATCACGTTGCGCCGTGACAGACCGTCCCCCTGGTTCACTAGGGAGTTGGCTGTGATGAAGCACACGAGAAGGGGGCTAGAGCACAAATGGAGGAGTTCTCGGGACGTGTCCGACCAAGCACGGGCTAAAGCCTCGCTTAAGGCATATTCCGTGGCTATACGGGTGGCCAGGGAATCTTTCACGACCACCCGTATAGCGTCTGCAGCAAACAGATCATCGGAGCTGTTTCGGGTTGTCGGGGAACTCCTTCACCCACCTGTGGGGGAGGAGACCTTCGACGACCCAGCAACTCGGTGTTGCGAGCTCGCACACCATTTTGCAGGCAAAGTTGCTCAGATACGTCTTGAGCTCGACTCCAATTTCATCACAGTGCCACAGGAGGTGATTGAGGCATCTGCTTGTCCAATTTTGTGGGATTCTTTTAGGCTTGTTCTTCCTGAGACTGTGGAAGAGGTCCTTGGCGCTGTGAGACTGACGTCGGCTCTAGACCCTTGCCCGTCTTGGCTAATTAAATCAGCCAGGGAGGGGTTGGTTGATTGGTTTGTGTTGATCATTAATGCATCGTTGGAGCAGGGGGTTTTTCCATCTCACCTGAAACAAGCTGTGGTTCGTCCACTCCTCAAAAATGCTTCCCTTGACTCCACGGTGCTGAATAATTACAGACCGATCTCCAACCTCCCTTTTTGGGCAAGGTGCTGGAGCGGGTGGTCGCCTCCCAGCTCCAGGGCTTTCTTAGATTACATCAACTACCTAGATCAGTCACAGTCTGGTCTCAGGCTGGTCGATGACCTCCGTAGAGAGCTGGACAGGGGGAGTGTGACTCTGTTGGTTCTCTTGGACATCTCAGCGGCTTTCGATACCATCGACCATGGTATCCTTCTGGGTCGACTCTCTGGGATGGGTCTCGGGGGCACGGTTTTGTCGTGGCTCCGGTCCTTCCTGGAGGGACGAACCCAGATGGTGAAGCTGGGAGATGCCTGCTCGGACCCCTGGCCTTTGACCTGTGGGGTCCCGCAAGGCTCTATTCTGTCTCCCATGCTTTTTAACATCTACATGAAACCGCTGGGAGAGGTCATCCGGAGTTTTGGAGTTAGGTGCCATCTCTACGCAGATGACACACAACTCTACTACTCTTTTCCACCTAATTCCAAGGAGGCCTCTCGGGTGCTGGACAAGTGCCTGGCCGCTGTGTCTATCTGGATGAGGAGGAACAAGCTGAAGATCAATCCCAACAAGACAGAGGTCCTCCTGGTCGATCGCAACAGATTGGGGTATAGGGTGGCAACCTGTGTTGGACGGGGTTACACTCCCCCTGAAGCCACAGGTCCGCAGTTTGGGAGTCCTCTTGGATTCATCGCTCACGCTTGAGGCTCAGGCGTCGGCGGTGTCCGGGAGGGCTTTTGCACAATTGAGACTCGTGCGCCAACTGCGACCGTACCTCGCAAAGGCTGATCTGGCCGGGGTGGTCCATGCCTTGGTCACCTCCAGATTGGATTACTGCAATGCGCTCTACGTGGGGCTGCCCTTGAAAACGGCTCAGAGATTCCAACTGGTCCAACGGGCAGCAGCCAGGATGTTAACTGGGGCTCCTTACAGAGAGAGTCAACCCTCCTGTTTAAGGAGCTCCA